GATATATATCGTTATATCAAACAGCCCTATTCTGAAACACCAACTAACTCAAATGTACAAATTAATTCAAAGTATACCACTGTAAGTCACCTGGGAACTATAAATAGTGCTCCCAACTCAGCAGCTGCTCAACAATGTATAAAAAAGTTCACAGAGTTCATGTTATGTAATATATAGGCTAGACAGGTCGTGCCTTAAAGTACATGTTTCCAATCTCCACTTTGGAATGACAAATTCTTTTAGACCAAGCATTTATCACTATATCTGAATTTATCTTGGACAGACTTCACCTCCTTCCAGACCGTTACAAACACGGGGCACCAGCTGCAAGGACCAGCTAGAGATACCAATTGCTAAATTCTTTAAAATCATGACAGTTGTGTGAGACATATCAAATCTACAGAAATCTTGCTGAAACACATCTAAGCTATTAAAATCCAGGCGTTTAGAAATCCCTTTTTGGACAGGTATTTTAGGCACCTCTGAGCAGGTGACTTCTTCAAACAAAAGACAATAAAGTAGCCTGTTATCAGGCAGAATTATCAGCCGTTTACACTGACTTTCATGTTTAAACACGAGGAAAAACAAAAAAGGACTGACAAGAACTGAATCACATCTATGGGAAGGGAAAATAAATGAGAATAATTATTTGAAAGTAATGCAGAATTCCCCAAGAGATTTGCTGAATTATACCCCAGATATTAATAGCATAAAGTGAAAGGTGAAAATTGGCCTAAAAATTCACCATGAATAAGTGCAACTAAATGCCTTGTGCTTAATTAAGCCTGCATCCATGATTGACAAGTACTAGGGGCTCAAGGAACAACTGGAGCAGATGCGGAAGGTGAGGACGGTCCCAGCAGATCCCAAACGCATGTGAGTGCAAAGAAGAGCAGCTACACACAACAGCTAGAAGCAACTATGTAGCTCAACCGGGTAGAAAAAGCCTGTGCAAATTTTCATAAATATCATCACTGGTGTATATGGAAAGTGTAGAATTTCTTTTCTTAAATAGGCAGAAATCCTACTGAAAAGACATTAAAATTCAGGGACTGATAAATATATCTTTGGACAAGTGTAATGCAAAAGCAGGCTATATCACCGCCCCCCCCAAAAAATAAAAAATAAAAAATCCAAAAAAAAAAAATCACAGAAGTAGCTCACTAGCTCACTTTCAGACAGAATTATCAAGTATTTACACTCTGATTCTCATGTTTGGTCCACAAGCACAAAAGAGACCAGAAATGAAAGCAATACAGAATGCATGAGTGAGACTATACACTACATCCCAGATATATGCAGCATAAAATGATGCAGAAAAGATGGGAGGGGGGGAAAAAATCACAAAGAGTGCACTAGAATAAGTGTCTGGCGCTCCAGATCTAGTGGGTTGGAAAAAAAACCTATGCTCAGGATTTTGGGACTACCAGTGGCCAAAAGAACAGGCGTGTCTGAAGCATTGGAGGCTGTAACCCCACAAAGCGTATGACAGCAAAGAGCAGCAGCCACATGCAACAGCTAGAAACTGACATCTGGCCAAAAAACACCGCTTTAACAGAAAGTGATTGCATTTGTGCAAAAAAAAAAACAACGAAAAAATAAGCATAATAATAAGACTCAGGTGTTCACTCGTTTCTGTGGTTAGAGCTGCTTCTTGCACTTGCCACAAACCAGGGAAGGCGTTAAAACGGTTGTGAATGATGCAAACAGCTAAATGGGCCTGCTGCACCTAACAAGTGTAAAATGAGCGGCACGCCGTATGACACGACCACAATAAAACAACTTTCACACAGCCATGATTGATCTGCTTACCCGCACTCGGAAGCGGAACATGGCGAGGCGGACACAGTGGCTGAGGCAGGCCGGGGGCAGGAACCATGCCCGGGGAGGCGGGGTGGCCTTGCTGCCGACGTGGTTGACTATCAGCTGCGCCGTCTGTCGCTGGCTCTGAGCTCGCCGCGCCCACTCGGGCCAGCGCTCCTTCCCCAGGGTGCCGTTGAAAACCACGACCAGCTCCAGGCCACCCTGGTACAAGCAGGCCTGCGACAGGGCGGCCAGGTATCCCAGCATGGCGTTCCACTCGCCTCCGCACACCCAGTCCGTCTGGTAGCCGCCGTACAGGCGCTGCAGGCCGGAATCAGCGTCGATTAGGATCCTGGCAGGCGGGGGCGGGGGAGGCATGGGCCCGGGGTGATGTGGGTGGTGGTGTGGGTGATGATGGTGAGGGGGCTGGCGGGCCGCGGTCCGGGCAAGCTTGAGGAGGTCCACGGGGACCGTGGCCCCGGGACACCGCTTCTCTAAATACTCCTGAAAGCCCTGCACTCCCATGACGGTGTTATTGAGCCGGTGCGTCTGACCGGGAGCGGGCTCTGAATACGTTCTGTACGCCGTGTTTGTAACGTGTTGTGGGGCGAGACTTGCAGCTAGCTGTGCACTCCGGGGCAAAGCTAACTGGTCTCCGATGTAGTGACAAAACTGTAGTTTAGTTAACCCAGCAAACCAACTTGGCTGTCACGCTGCCTAGCAAAACGAGTCACCATGCACCGCCGCACGACTGTTTCTGGTAGTTATCCCAAGATATCGAAATGCCAATTTGTTTGTTTTATTTCTTTACTTTAGTTTTGGTCGAGGGTGCTCAGTTTAGTGTCCATCCCTGTGGATTTTTGGTGAGATGCCAGAAAAGGCCAGTGTAGCTACCTACCTACCAGAAAAAGTTTAACACGTTTCCTGCTCCCATAATTTGGCTTTAACAAGACCAGCTTCCAAAATGCAGTCGGTAGCGAGTAACAGAAATGCAGCGAGATGGTGGACCGAGAAATGTCTGCAAAATAAAAAAAAATCCCGCTGTTTTGTGCACATGAAACAGATGCAATACTGCGCTTTTTTTTAGTTAGCAAACCCACAGGCTGGATGGCCAGTTCGCGGACATGATGGTGAACCGAGCAGCTTGAAAACCGTTGTTTTCTTTTTTAAACCTGACAGATGAAAATGTTCACATTTATTCGCCACTGGCTCTGGGAAATTTCAGCACGTGTGCTACACCAGCGTGCAGGATAACAGGTGTCAGAATATTAATTTAACACAAACTAATGAGCAGCGTGCCTGGCTGCACTAATATTTGCTAACTGTGGCTAAGCTGCTAGCTGCTGCTGGCAGGGTCCCCGGCGTGATTTGACGCGTCAACTCCCGAAGACAAGTCCGGGGCGGACACGACGCGGAATGAGATGGATGTTTGACGAAAGAAAAGAAAAGTAACTAAAAGAAAATAAAAATAAAAGCCCGATGGTGCCTCCCTCGCTTTCTTCCACGCTCACGGCTTCATGTTGCAGAGGGGAACGTTACTTCCAAGCGACGTCAGCCATCTTGCGACTTCCTCGCGGCCCAGTGGAGTGGGAGGGAAGGCGGAGGGAGGCGAGGAAGGAGGCGCGGCAGAGCGCGGGGAGCGACGGGAACAGTAGTCTGACTATGGCAGAGCGTCCGTCCAGAACACGAGCGTCGGCAAC